TTGATGTTTGTTAAAAATATATTAAACATTTTAAAAAATTTTTGAATATATATTTATGAAAAACTTGATTTTCATATGATCTAAATAGATATAAAGCATAAATTTAATCTATTGTTACAAATTAAAATATTGTTTAATAGTATGTATATAAGAAGATGTGTGTTTTATTTCTATTTTTGTGATTTTTATTTTAAAAGAAATTTTTTTGAAAACCAAAAGAAATTCTTTGATAAAAACTGTCAATATTAAGATCAAAGTTAATCATTCCCTGATACTTTTGAATCAAAAAATGAAATGCTCATGATATTTAAAAAATATTTTTTATACAAATTGAATACAGTCTAAACTCTTTTATTTTGATTTAAAATTGATGTTCAATTATTTGTTTTAATTTTTAATATATAATTTTTTTTATAAAAAGGTTGAATAAATTAAATCTTTATCAATTATTTTTGTGATATTACTTGATAATTTTTTAGTGGTAGGAATTAATTAATAGTAAAAAGGATTAATAAAATTATAGAAGCATTTACAATTTGTTTTCTGTTCTCATATAACAAATAATAAAATAAAAAACGTAAGTTTTATAAATTAAAAAACAATAGACGATACAATAGTATCAAAAAATATATATTATTAATTAAAATAATTTCTAAACCTATTTACTATTAAAAATAATTTAAAAATCTTTAATATTATAACTAAAATTTAAATTCGTATTAAATATTCATAAGATACCAAGTATTTCTTAGGAAGATTTTATTATCATATAGAACTAAAAAATATATTCAAATTAGATAGTATGGTTTTTACAAGAATTCAAAAAGATCAAAAGAGAAATAAAAAGTATTTGATTCTTATTATTAAATATGGTTAAAATTTTAATATTATATAGTTGTTTTATATATAAAATAAAAAAAATTATATTTTTACAAGTGAATAAATATGACACATTTAGTAATATTTTAAGTTTTCGTTTTTAATGATATATTTATTTTAAACAATCTTTTAATTTAAATCTTTTTTATAAAATCTGAATTTAATTCAAACATAATTAAAATAAAATATCATTTAAAAATATTAAAGATTTTTTCATATAATTTCTCAATAATATAATGAAAAATTTTTATTCAATTTTTTTCTAAAACTTGTTGGATTTTAATCAATGTTAAAAATAATATTCTTTACTATAAGTTTATATTTATGAAAAGTTTTTTTAACTAAAACATCATTGTGATATACAGTCAAAATAAGATGTTCGAATACATTTTAAGAAAGATAAAACCGTAAAAATTAGTTTACAAAACTACTTTTTAAAAATATATAAGAAGTTCTCTATAATAATTTAGTAAATGTTAATATTAAATTTAATACAAGAATATAAAAAATATAAAATATAAAAGGTTTAAAAAATTTATCTTACAAATACAACGTATATTTAAAAAACAAATATTTTTAACTGGTAAGTTGTAGTTAAATTTTTAAAAGGAAAGAGTAATAACATAAAAAAATTAAAATTAAAATTTTATATATAAACAAAAAACACGAAAGCTTAATATATTATTATTAACTTGTTATTTAATTATTACAAAACATAATCTTTATAATTCATCAAGTCGTTGTATATTTAAGTTTTTTTAACCAAATAAAAGTGATTACTGATTAATTAAAAAATTAACACATAAATACACAAAAGTTTTTTAGTATTTAAATTAAATAACAGTTTTAGAAATTTAAGTAGTAAAGAAATATTAGATAGAACAATAAGAAAACATCTCAAAAAACTTGAATTTAGTGCCACGAAAACAGTTTCTAAACTAAAACATTCTAAAATGTATAAAGTTAGGTGTTTAAATTTTACAAAAAAATATTGACGTAGGTAAATTATTAAAATGATATTGTTTTTGCTAATAAGTCATCTTCAACATACATTATTACACAAAAAACGAGATTATTAAAAATTTTCAAAAATATTTTTTTTTACAATATTTCATTCATTTTTTTCAATAACAATTTATATTTAAATAAAAAAATAACCAAATTCAAAAAATAACAAAAAATTATATTAGGAAAAAAGTTTTAGTAAAACTGTTTGAAAAACTTTTGAAAAAATGAAAAAAAAACAAATTTAAAATATATGATTATAGTTTTTTCTTTATATACCTTTTTAAACACTAACTACTTATTTATACACAAATTATTTGGTGTTTTATACCAAATCTCTTTTATTTTTTTCATTAAATCATCATTTGTAAACTTACTAAATTACATAAATTTGTATTTTACAAAAATGCGAACTATCTAAAGTAAATTAAAACCCCAACTTTGATTGATCAGTTCTAAACATGAATATTTCTATCATTCAAATACTCAGAAACAAGTTTTAAGGTATGCCTTGGATCACCATCTTGATTTAAATAGTTTTTTTCAATTCGTTTTATGAGCGGATTATCTTAAATTATTAGCGAAAAGTTGATTATACACTACTGATTTTATTTCTAATAAAAAAACAAAAACCACGATTTTCTACAAAAAATATACACCAAAACTATTATTAATTAAAATGTTTGATTGAAAAACATTTATTATTAGATTTGTACTGTTATCAAGGAAAATAATACATATAATTAATACCATTTTTATTTAAAAATGTGAAATTTACACTCATCAATAAAAATTATTATTATTTTAAGTCTCGTATGAAGCTTCAAAATATTTTCTGACAAATGAAGTTTTTTTCTATATTGATGAATCTTAAATAAAGTTTTTTTAAAAAACTCTTTTATAATTTTTTTTGTAATCTTAAGACAATATTTTTTATGATTTTTATCATAAATCAAAAATACTAACGTTTTAATTCATCAGACAATGTTTTCTGGTCGTCCTAAAACGAATTTTGTATTAGATGGTATTCTATTCTTTAATTTTTTTGATATAAAACACGCAGGTTATTATATTTTGTCTTAAAAAAGCACCTCTATTTGACTTAAACCAAGTTTTAGTTGTCTTCAATTAAAATAATATTTTCATATGTAAAGTTATTAGTCATATGTCAATAATTTACAATTTTTAAGAATCGATTATGAGGGTAAATTATTTCTGATTATATTTTTGGATGAATTTTAAAAAAAATCAAGTAAAGATTCTTTTCTTGTATAAAATCTACTGTTTTTTTAGTTTATTAATTTTTAATAACTAAATATATACTGTTATTAAAATTTTTTTTTATTTTTGTGGTTTTTTTAAATAATACTCTATTATGATTAAAAAATGTAAGATGTAGATCGTTAAAATAAAAAAGAATTTGTGAGAAAAACCTTTTAATATCGAAAGAAAAAATTATGAATTGGGTATATGTCTTCTAATTGTGTTAGCGAACTGCATTTTTTTTAAATAAAAACACTGATGTCTTATTTTACGTAAGAAATTTAGCTGATAATTTACAATTATTTATTGTAACCCTTAATTTTGATAATTATAAATTTAAAAAAAAATGTTTCTAAACATTAAAGTAAGATAGCTAATGAATACTTTAAATTTAATAATATTAAATAACCTATTTATGTATTTCAATCAACTTATTCAAACCTTTTTGAAAATTTTTAGGTTGTGGTAAAAAAAAGATAAAAGATATAAAATTTAATATTATTAATGAAATGAAAGAAACATTACAAGAAATATGGTAGAATATAGTTGTCGATATTTGTTTTAATCTTCTAAATACTCTGTTTAATAGAATAAAAGGTATTATGAAAATTTATGAAAAATATACAGAATATTAATTTTTATTTTTTATTAAATTTATTGATGTTTTTTTGTTATTTTATTATAAAAATAAACATTTATATAAAATTATTTATAATTTTAAATAAAAAAATATTATGTTCCTAGAATTTTCAAAACAACACAAATATTTTTATTTTTTGTGTTTAATATCGCATTTGATTTAACAAATGTGTCATTATTTCTAATAAAAATCTCAATGTACGTTGTATCTAAAAGAGTTGCATTTATGCTCTTACCAAGCATTAAAAGCTTTTTTTCCAAAAAGTGTAATATGCTTTAGTGTATGGTATGTTAATATACCATACACTAAATTAATTTATAGGATTTTTCGATCAATATAATAATCGTTGCAACCAATTGAATAACTGTTGCAATCAAATAAATAAAATAGAATTCTCAAGTGTTTTTTTTGCAATCAATATAATAATCATTGCAACCAATTGAATAACTAATGCAACCAATTGAATAACTAATGCAACCAATTGAATAATTCAACTGTAATTTTTGTAATTTTGCAATCAATTGCGTATAACAGCTGGTTAAATATGGTTTTTGCAATCAATATAATAACTGTTGCAACCATATGAATAAGTTTTGCAATAAATTACATAATCACATTTTCTTCAGGATTACAAAGATATAAAGACATGAAAAAAATAAAACTAAATTTATTCATAAATAATCTCTCTTGCTGCTGATCTTATTAAACACCCTAACATTTTTTGATAAAATGATCCGCAATGATCATAAGTTATTTTATTAAAAGATTCT